CGGTTGCCTAGGCCGAAGTAGGGGTTATCTTAGGGGGGCCGCCACCCCGAACCTTTGGCTCAATAGCCTACCCGCAAGACAGCGGAGCGCATTCAGGGTATCGCGCCCATTAGGAGCCGGCGACCGATTACTTGGTTCATACGCTTTTCGTTTGGTCAAGTACCAAACAGGGGCCCAATCCTCCCCACGATGACAGCATCTGGCAGCTGGTATACAATGCTCCACTGGAGTGAACCTAGGGACAGTGACATTATTTAGTGGCGAGTCACATTCGCCACGTCGCAGTGTTGTTAAACGGACATATGCGGTTTTATATAGGAAGAACGCTTGCCAGGCCAAAACCCACCACGTCCTGTAACACTGCCGCCCACCGATTCGCTGGTTCGGTAAAATCCCGAACCACCCAGCTGGCACCACGATGAGGTTGTTCGGCAAGTTAGACATCGACTCACTGTAGCGTTTTATGAATTACAATGGGTAACCATTAGATTGCAACACGTCAAACAGCAGCTCTTTCTCTGCCTCCAGTGTGTCTGGTGCACGTCATATGAGCCCGATGCAACAACGTTCTAACGAAAGAGCGCTTGTGATGGATTGGCGAGAAACTCTTTAAATGTAAATGTTGACCTGTCCAAGTCGCTTTCCGGTAGACTGATCTTTTTATCGAGCCATCTGGTCGTCGTGTGAGCAATATGTCTAAGTATGGGAGACAACTGTCGTGCTCAGTTTCACATGTCACAGTAAGATTCGGATGCACATCATTGAGCGCTTTGGTTGCAAGTGCAATATCATCATCTGAATCCATGATTAACAATATCTCATCAACATAACGTTTATATAAGGTTGCGAACTTGATGATGCTATCTAACTTCTCCTCAATCATACACATGAATACGTTCGCCAGCAAAGGGCCTAACGGGCTGCCCATAGCCACACCATCGATTTGTCGATATGCTTTTCCTTGAAGGTAAAACTTGATATCTCTTGTGCACAGCAGGAGCATGTTTTTCAGCAATTCCGTGGGCAACTGCCATTGAATGTTGTGTTTCGTGATAAACTCACATAGATTATCAACAGTCTCTTCCAAGGGAACGTTGGTGAAAAGCGACTGAACGCCAAGTGAACACATGCGCTTGTGGACTAAGTTGATGCCTTCCAAGTAGTGAAGTACTCCGGTGTTTGACAGTGTTTTACTAGGGACTTTCTGACTGGTTCGAGCATCCAGTTCAGGCATTTAGCAATGACATTGTACGGCGAATTTACCATGGAGAGTATTGGTCGCATAGGTAGTCATGATTTGTGCACCTTTGATAAACCATGCATCTGTGGTGTATGTGTGCCTACTGGCTTTAGTGCTGTATATTCGTCATCTGAGATGAAACCGTGCAAGTCACTGTTAATAGAATAAGCACCTCAAGGAAAAAGACGTACAACGTAGCAGAGCTACGCTTGTTGGTGACTGCAAGACCAATACTTAATTGTTCAGTGAAGATGCCTGTGTCAAAGCAGTGCACATCCCATTTCTTATACAAATTCACGTGTAGCTCGGGTGACAACTATGTTGGGCGCACTACTCGAAATCTGGATGCTCGGATCGATGAACACATTCCAAAGTGGCTCTGCAACCAGATGGAAAATGCGACGATCGCACGCGGTGAATGGAGAAACAAAGTTGCCTCCGCGATTGCGAGACATCTGATGAGCACCGGTCACCAAGTGAACCCAGATGAGTCATTCACAGTCCTCATGCGCAGTCAAAGGCCTCACACACTCAAGCTACTCTAGGCCATTGTGATCCATCGACAGCGCCCACCGCTGTGTCCAAAAACAGCTGACAGTGTGGTTGCGCGCAACCCACCAAACGGAAAACAGGTGATCTACAATTCATTTCGTGTTAACTTGTTTTTTGCATTCTTTTTTGGTTGATTGTATTGTGGTTGACGAGTATGCACGAAATGACAATGTCATCCCACAATCTTTGTCTGCTGATATTCTTATTTGGAGTTATAAAGGGAAATTCATGTTTCACACACCTAGTGATTACTCGTCATCAAATCCGGCTCGATACCGCATTCAAAAAATTTTGCTGTGGCACTCTAATACGCGATTTCTTCGTTTTGCTGAGGCTATTGCAGTTAACCGAACGCAGCCTATGCTGTGCGTGCAAAAACAGGCATTCGTTGGTCTCAAGCTCCCTCGAGCATAAAGACCGAATCGTTTTCGTCCATCTTGATCCCCAACTTTGTTCCTTTCTTTTTTTGGTCGCATCCACTGTTTGCTATTGTTTCTCATCGGTTGTGGTCATTGGTACTGAAGAGACAACACGAAATGCTGGCATCTACCAAATGTCCTCTTCTTGCTTTACTTTTCTAGAACCACTAGTTTGTATGTTTTCGCCTCATTATCGCGCTGTTTATTTATTGTTTGTGTGTTCGGTTCCGAGTTATCTGTGTAAAGTCCGTTGTGTCGTGTAGTGTTGGTGAATGCCGCAAGTAAGTTGTCTCATCGATGCCACCATACACACCTCCAGGTATCCAGCTGATCTTCACTGTGTGACGGTGGCGCGGCCCGTGCGCCTTCCTGCGTTTGTTTTGCATTTTTGCCCCCTTTTAACTCTTACTTAGTGGAGCCAACTCTTACTGAACGATTGTATCATAGCGGAGGGCCGCTGCCAATGGTAAGCTACTAGTTGACATTGAACCCGACTCATTGAGGGGTGTATTCAAGTGTCTACGTATTGAAACCTTGTCATTAGTGCCGCCTGCGTTGGCCCGTACAAACGCGACTTCTGTTATATTGCATCAAGAATAAAATTGAAAGGACAGGATTAATCATTTCTGCGCACCACCTTCGAAGGGCCGGATGCTTTCAATATTGGTCTTGAATTCCGACACGCAATTTTTGTTGGGCCTCCGGTTCATTTTGAAGTAAATTATCATTCTGATCACTGGGACCTTATCGAAAGTGGAGTGCTTTCATTGTAGCTCGTACACAAATGTTGCGTTCTCCTAGGAGGTTTTGTTAATTCATTCCAGTGGTGCACTTACGGTGCCTTAGTAATATTGGTACATAAATAAATGTTCTTTCCACTTTAATACAAACGCACTCCGTCCTTTCGAGTATTTTAAGTCTTTTATGACCTCACAGAAGCTGGATGATATATGTAACCATTATGCTATGCGGTGTTTCCGCGATTTTCTGAGTGTGAATGTATAGCCGGTCCTTGTCACGACCCAGCCCTGTCCGTAGAATCCGAATATCCTCCTACATCGTGTGGATTATGGAGAATCAACATGAATATATTTCACTACGTAAAGCAGGAATGTCCAGACTTTGTGCAAGGGGGATCACATTTTGTAAGTCAAAAATATGTCGGGCCATATTCAGTCTGACATTAAGATAAGAACAAAAATTACACATGTACGAAAAAGTCAAGGTCTGAATTTCTGATTTCATGATGAGGCCGCCGGCCAGTTGTAATGTTACCGCGGGCCGGACTTTGGCCACCCTGACGTAAGACTTGAGTCGGTTACGTCACTCCGGCAATGTGCGCCTGAGTGAAAAACGGGTCTCATTTCGGCCATGCTTTTTGCACTTCCACGATATTCTCGATCTTAATATGAAGGTAGGTAATAGTAGGTTTATCGTAACACTAGACGGTCATTTCGTCTCTGTGGGACTCGACAGTAATGCGCTTGCGTCGGCTCCATCAAAGTCTAAGCCAACAATCTCTCCACAATAATGTCGTGCACCACACTATCCAGTAGTTAATATCATTACGTAAGAGGAGAGTGGCGGCGGACTGTCGTGACTTACAAGCTAACTGCGATGTAGCGCAGCTTATTATCCACTGTCATGAACGTTGCAAACTTTAAAGAGGACAGAGCTGCTTCCGAAAGTCATGGTTCTCACTAAAAGTCACAGACAATGCCCATGGGAATGTAAGAAAACGCCGTTGCAAGAAGATCTCTTTTCGGCAGATCACATCATTCAAATACGTTCACAAGGCTAACAGGGATAAGCATAACCTAATAAAATCTGAAGAGAAAGTGGTAGAGAGTTTGAACTGGCTTGATTTATTGGAACGGAAGTTAAATTGGTCGGTTCAAGTTTGGTAGCCTGTGTTGTCGATGAAAACTGACCTAATATAACCCCACTTGACAAAGCTTGCTGACCACATCTGGAAACAAGTTAGGTTAGCCGAGAACCGAAGCCACCCTCGGCCATCACCATCCATGTGGATGGGTCCTCGTCACGGCCACTGCAAAGTGAGAGGTTGTGATAGCATCCTCTGCTTGAAAAGCTTTGGTTACATTAACTTGATTGCTATCAACTCGGCTATCTTTAGGAGACCGCTCCTAGGACCTTTAGGAAATCGTTTCGGCAAGGTTTAGATAATGTTAAAAGTATTGTTTGTCAGTTTTTTGTGTCCATTTTGACCCATATGTTCCAAGGACGGAACTTCTGATACTAGCAAAAGTGCCTTTCCGTAGAAACCCGGGACAGTGCTTAGTTATCCTTGTCGACGGACACCTGGCCGCATTTCTAAGGTTCTTAGCACCTTAGGTGCATGTAAATTGATATACCATGCACGAATCAAACTAAGCCGGTAATCTGTCTTCAACGCTCGGATCAATAAATATAGTGGTCTCTGTAAGAACACGTGGATTGGTCGTTGGCTAACTTCTCATTGCAGAGGAAAACCTCATATTTAATCGATCGAAAGCCATATCACCATTAAACGGAACCTGAGAACTTGGGTGACAGGTGCACTGCGTTCACGAACCATAGTGTTTCAATAAAACCCAATATGGAGGCCTCATTACTGATACACTGTTCCCTCTGCCACATGTCTTTTTTGATGCAAATGTGAATGCCTTATGCTCCGGTAGAATCTAGGGGGAGGTGCTTTATCATCTACTCACCAAATTACTAAGCGTACTGTGGTGATAAATATCTCCCTGGTTAATGTGTTTTATGTACTTTCCACTATCCTTTAGATGGTCGTTGTCGGAGTTACTCTGATCCAAGCCGCGGTTGTGGTCTCGGTGTTGATGCTCTTCACAAGACAAACGCTGCTGTGGGACATTTCCGCACTGTCCGCATCGCTGCCGTTATTGAGACGCATCCCTCCACCCAATTCTAAGTGACTCTCTGAATGATTTTGGATCATGTGATGAACCCAAAAACTACGCATGTGGATGCCAACCGGGTCACACAGCTATCAGGGTTCATACTCACGAAGTCACATTCCCATGCAAATATACGTAATCTTGTTCTGTCCTTGCACTCATATATCTGCTTTGATAAGAAACTACACTACTCGATCTATTAGAACAAGTGCCTGCTGTTATGTGCTACAGCACCATTTCCCTGGATCTGCAAATCACTTGCTCCTGGAAAATCCAAAAGACGAAATCGAACATGAAGCACTATCTTGGACAGTCCTTAGCATTTATTTTCCCCAGATACAATCCAGTGATCAGCGTAGTCGAAGCCTACTTTAAATTAACTCACGGTCCCCGCTGATGTCGCGTGTTGTAACCCATTCATGCGACCAGCACGCTAAGACAAGCGGTGACAAGCGTTTCCGGCGGAGTTCTATTGTGTAGACGTTTTAGCTGACCATCTCTAGTTCGATTCCCATCCAGGCTTCCACTATTTGAACATTCTACAGAGGAACAAGGCTGGTCGCATGATACAGTGTTGGCACCGAGCAACGCGTGGCATTAATCTACTCAGTCCCATAATTATAAGTCGTCGAAGGGAACCGGCTCACCGAGCGTCTCGCTATATGGGCTCCGCGACTAGGTGCCGACCATTTTGTAAATTCCGGACAACGTCAACTGCGTCTTGCATAGCATACCTGCCATTTATGGTCGGCGGTGGGAGCATCTTGCTCTGAAGAATTACTGCTCTCCTTGTAAGACCGTGGGTTGCGTGACAGCTGGGTAGGGATCAAGCTCTTGAAGCTAGTATTAAACAGTTCGATCCAACTCTGTAAAATTCCGGAGACTGGATTTGTATCGTATGGTTGCGCCACTATAAAGCTATCCATCGAACTAGCAGCTTACATACCAAAAATATCGAGTAGTGGTTTGCTGATTGTAGCAAAACAGCCCTTCAAGGCACAATATTACTATTATGGGTCTGTGAGCGCACAAGTGTAAAATTCCGGAAATGCCTACACTTACGTGTGATTCGCTGCAGCCATGGCTCTTGGCCCTGCTTTGAATAAGCGATTCGATCTGGTTTCCTCTCGGTTACAAGTGAAACAAACGTGTAAATAGTTTGTAAAATTGCCGCACGTGATCAATCGACCTAGCACTGTTGCCACTGGCAAGCCACTCGTCCGATCGCCCCAAGTTCACTTATACTAACTATATTGGTAATGATATACATTAAAAACTCTAATGTTGAAATAGGCTTGATTGTAGGACGTGAGGTGAAAGATAGCCATTTAACATAAAGGAGGCATACAACTCGCCATCACATCTTGCGGACTGTTGCTTTGTTATCATATGCTTAGCTCTCATTATGCATCATGCTCAAAGTGCCCTAACGTGCTATCTAGGGTATTCCCGAATTCTACTGCAAGGTACAAAATGAATTTGCCAGTTGCACAATCATTAGAAACAGCGTTTAGTCTGAGGAGATAGTTAGCGGCATCCGAATCCGGATTTGCATATCACTGTGGTCTCCATGTGGACAGCCGCAGGACGCCTGCGCCTACTAAGGGATTATAGATGGCTTGCGCTGCACCCCATATCAAGTGTAAATCCGAACGAATAACAGCGGCAGACAAGTGGATAGCGGCCACGTTTTATCCACGGAACCGGCCCACATTCTTTCAACATGCACAGCATCAGCTTTCTTGCCTATCTAATTGGGGAATCATATTGTAGCGACAGAACAACGCGGCAATGAAACACGATCTTTATTGGCGCGAAAACACACTACCTCATCACTTTCACAGGCGCACATTAATGAGTCAGGTTTCTTTCCCACGCTGCACCATCCCTCCTGGCCTCCGCTCGTGGCACTTCTATGCTCCTTCCGGGGGTACGGGAACGCATCTTCTATGTCCGTTTCGCCTGTGTATCTTCGCTTCCACGCCTCCGATTCTGACAAGCCCGGAGTCGTTCGATAGCGTGCGTTTTGCTTGACCGTGGGTGTGTCACTCTCCCCGGGGTTGTTTCTTGACGATGCGATCCCGGCGGTTTTGTCCGATTTATTGCGTCTTCAACAAATTCTCCACCTGCTTTGGGCTCACCCACGGATGCCGCTCCTGTCCCGTTCTATTGGGCCTGGGTTTCTCCAGCGAATCGCTCCCATTGCATCGGTCTCTCTGTTCGTCCGCCTCCGTTTTACTGATCTAACCGTCCTTTGGGCAAGCGCTGCCTTCCGCCTCCCTATCCTAACTTTTGCTTCCATCTGCGCTGACCGGTTGAAACTATGTACCTACGCACAAGAAAATTCTCCCCACCAAAATAAACAACAGAAGCAACAAAGTTCGAAATTCTTGCGCTGAAATGTGTTCCCACGAAATATGTGAACATCCTTCGTGTTGTATCCTCGAACACTACAAGCCTCGTCAGGGTCTATGATGCGCTGTTGTATAGCTTTCCGAGCAGTAGTGACGTTCGTCAGGGTTGTCCGATCTCCCCATTTTTGTTCAATTTCGTCGTGGATTCTATCATGGAGTGTTCCCTTGCGAAATCTCACGATGTAGGTGTTGAAGTGCTGTCTGTTGATCTTGATTATGCAGATGATATCGCCTTACTTTTCGACGATTATCGGCGGCAAAATCAACCCTGTATAACCTGTCCAGAGTGGTCCCATTATTTGGTATGCACTTCGCACCTTCAAAGTGCAAAGTGTTGCTGCAAGACCACCAGCCACTTGATGACCTCTTGACGCTTGCTAATGAGGAACTCGAGGTGATTGATCATTTCACTTATCTTGACAGCTGCATCAGCAACGATGGGCGCATAGAAACTGACGTTAGTTCACACATTGCAATGGGCAGAGCTACCTTCTTGAACCTGCGTCATCCTTGGCGACAGAAGGGAGTTTCCCTCCGTCTGAAAGGCCGTGTATACAAGGCCACAGTGAGGGCCGTTCTGCTCTGTGGTAGTGAGACTTTGCCCCTTCAATCTGAAAATCTGAGGCGCCTTCAAGTCTTTGATCATCGTTGTTTGCGAAGCATTGCTGGTGTCGGATGGCACCAGCGTGTCTGCAGCGATGATGTGCGTAGGCGAGTACTAGGTGGTGATAAACATGCTGGATCCCTAGAACAATAGATGGCACTGAATAAGTTGCGTTGGCTCGGGCAAGTGCTAAGTTTCTCTGGTCACAGCTTACCTAGGAGGGCTTTGTTTAGTCTGCCAGGTGTAGGATGGCGCAAGGCTCGCGGTGGACAGAAGTTGACTTGGCAGCGGGAAATGAAGTCACTGACAACCAAACTGGGTGCCGTTGGTCCGTCTCGCCTTCCGGGTTGGAGTCCACGTGACTCGCCTTGCGCTTGGCTCGAGACTTTGCAGGACATGGCTCGCAACCGACACCAGTGGCGCATCTTCTGCCGTCTCCTAATCGGATTGTCTGTTTAAAGTGTGTTTGGTGCTGATTTATCTGTGGGGTAATGGCTGATTATGATGTGGGGCAGTGAAAGCCGCAAGGAAGCTGTCTCACCGATTCCGCCTTATCATGGCACGCTAGCCAGCTGTTTGTGACGGTATATTTTCTACAGAAGGGTTAGGCGCCTTGACCCTGAATGTTTGCTTAGGACATTAAGGTTTTCAGGTAAGTCCCCCTTCTCTCCCTCTTCTTATTCTTTATTTCATAGGTCCTCATGGTTGTATGGCAGCGAAGCATCAGTACAAATGGCTGATGTACTGCTGTTGTTTTTTGTTGTTTGTGACAAGTTTCAAGCAAATCCCAATCTGTGCAGTCACACTTCCCAGCTAGATCTGCTCCCCCCTGCCTTGTCGATCATGCTATTGAGCTAAAGACTGCCGGTGGAGTCCTTTCAGGGAACCTCTAATTCCCCTCTGTCTTTTGGGTCAGTCTTTTGAGCCAAAGACTTGGTGGAGTCCTCACACAAACCTCCAAGTCCCCCCAACTCCATTGTGTGTCCGTTTTTTGAGTCTAGAAGCTTGAGGTAGGTCACCTCGAACAAAACCTCTCTCGGAATGGGAAGCCGGAGAGTATCACCTGCTCTCTGGACCACATCGACAATACTCCATCTTCTTGTTTTCTTCTCTCTTCTCCTCTTCATTGTTTTTTGAGAGAGAGAGAGACTGCTACTGACATCGCAGCTGCTGCCATCGATACATGTAGCTCTTCCAACAAGCTTAAAGTTTCATTTCACATTGGTTCTTTTAACGTCCGCACTCTAGGTCAGGTCGGCCAGCATACAGCACTGACTCTCACTCTTCACTCTTTTGCTACTGCTATGTGCTGTGTCTCCGAAAAACACATACAAGAAAACAGTGTCGTGACAAACCTTCGACTTCCTGGTTCTGATTCTGTCGACGATGGACATATACTTCACGTTTCCGTCGATACTAAGCCAATGGCCAAAGGCAAAGTTGCTGAATGTAGCCTGCTCGTATGGATACCGGTGAACAGCCGCATGTGTGCAGTAAGGATTCAAACCTCTTTCGGAATTAATAAGCAACCTCTAAAGACAGTGTCTTCTCATCGCCTCATTTTATGCCTCAACTTAATCCAGTTTGAGGATATTAAAGACATTTTCTATCAACAGCTCTCATCTCTTCTTCACATGGCGAAGAATACTGACATCGTGATTGTCACTGATGACATGAATGCCCAAATGGGTCGTCTCTCAGAATGATCTGGGCGACCGCTTCGGAATCCACGCACGTCGAACCGATAATGGTGATCGCTTTCTGCAACTAGGCGCCGACCACACTCCTGATGTTAACAACACTGCTTTGCAGCACAAACGATAACATCATGTCAACTCGTGCCCACCGATTTTCTCGATGACCTGGATCCAAGTTGACCATATTGCCATCAGCTGTAGAGCGCACATCCTTACAAGACTGCCGGTCAATTTGAGGTGTGCCTGGATTCCGGCCATGATGTAGCGCGCGCACGCTTGGCGCTCACTCTTCCCGCTCCAAAGAAGCACAATTCAGCAATATCATGACGAAGTGGCCCGCAATTGTCACTGGTGAATGAGATTCGTGAGTCGAATGCTGACTGGGATCGTCTCAAATGTGCGATGAGGAATACCTTTGACGCTTGCTGTGTACCCAACTTGAGACGTCCTAACCGTGGATGGATCTCTGTGGCATCGATCAGTTGATCGAGGTACGGAAGCAAGTTCCAATGGGCACTCAGCTTCAGCGTGTCCGTAACTCCCTGAAACGACGTCTGACCCGTCTTCGAATCGACCGGGAACCTTGGTGGGTGGCAATGGCCCCTAAGATGGAGAAAACCATTGCTATTGGAAACAGTTGCGTGCTATTCCGTTTCATCCGGGACACAGGTCTGAAAAAGGCGACAGTTTGCAAAACGATAGCTGAGAAGAATGGACAGTTGATTTACTCTCAGCGTCGTTGACTAGCCCGTTGGGAGAAAATTTTGCAGAGCAGTTCATCAGGCCTGCTGCGGCACTGCCGCTTGCGGAATCACTTAAGCAGACGTGGGAAGTAGATGTCACACCTCCCATTTTGGAAGAGATTCGATATGTGCTTTCCATGTTGAAACGAAACAAAGCTCCTCGACCCGACGACCCTCCTTCATCTTTGACTATATATGGTGGCGACTCTTTTTTGACTGAACTCGCTTCTCATTTTAACGCCATTTGGGACAATGAAGAAGTGCCTTCGGGCTGGCGACTGTCAATTGTTTTGCCCATCTTTAAGAATGGTCAGCGTACTTTGTGCGAAAATCGTCGACGCATTATCCTTGTTTCCGTTGCCTCAAAACTTCTCAGGCATCATTCTCAGACGACTTACTGGTCTTCGTGGGGACGGAATCACTGAAAGCTGGGCTGGCTTCCGCCCTTAACGTGGCTGTATCGACTACATATTTACCTTCGCCACACGCACACACAGGCGACCGTCTATGGTGGTCCTCCTTGACTTGAAAGGCGCCTGTGATTCTTTTGACCGCTCCAGGTTGTGGCACTGCCTATCCATGAAGAGCGCACCTGCTGAATTCTTTTCCAGTATGCAGTCTTTCTACCTTTGGGCGGAGCCGCGAGGCGGCCAGTCCATGAACTGGCATAGAGGCATGAACAAATTGACTGAGAGACTTGCTCAGGCTGGTGCGTGCCGTCTTCGTGCATGAGGGCCTCGGGATGGAGGCCGTATCAGACATGGCGCAGTCACGCAATTAGTGGCGTTTCTGCATCCGATTTGTTGAATCTGGTTGTTAACTTTCGTTCTTTTCTGTTTACTTTAACGCCCCTCCTTTGTTTCCATTTTCTTTGCCTTTAGCCCCACTATCTCACAGTCGTTATTTCTTGTTATTATTGTGATGTGAGTCGTGGCAGCTAGATCCACCGCACTTTGCTGTTTGGATCACAGTTGTCCAACTGAACTGAACCGTTCGAATAGGCAAACTTTCTACCTTGCCTGGGTGCATGGTGAAACTATGTTTTTGTAATCTTTTTCACATCGTACCCAGAGAAACGGGAATCTCCAGGTTGCTACAACCTACTACGTATGCTTCGCCACCGCTTCCCGAAGTGGGTCTTGTTTTCTCTTTCATATGTATGGTGGCGCAAGGCTCGAAGTTGACGAATGTTTACTTGGAAGAGGGAAATGAAGCCAATGACGATCAAACTGGCTGCCGTCGGTCCGTCTCCTCACCCATATTGGAGTCCACATGACTCGCCTTGTGCTTGGCTCGAGACTTTACAACACATGGCCACGGTCGGCACCAGTGGCGCATCTGTTGCCGTCTCCTAGTCAAACTGCCTGTTTAAGGTATATTTGGTGTTGCTTTATCTGCGAGGTAATGGCTTGTGGTGCACTACTAATGAGCCGTATGGTAAAACGAGCAGGCGCGATGAACTCAGCGAATAATGGATCACCGCGGACGACGGGCGCGTAGTGCACAATTCAACCAGTCATGGAAACTGATGACTCTGGAGTTTTGGGCTTATACCACACCGTCACGGCAAGCTGAGTCGATGGCACATAGCGGAACGTAGAATCAAGTGGCACCACGAATGAAGTGCGCAAATGAGTCCGACCATTCTGTGTTCGAAATGTTGTACCATTTATACATTTGTTCTATGATACACAACCCGTTCGCACCGTCCCGCCTTCTCTACAGGCTGATTATGACGCGGGGCATTGAAAGCCGCAGGGAACTTGTCGCCTTATCTTAGCAACAGCCAGCTGTTTGTGATGGCCTGTTGTTTACAATGAATACGCACCTTAACCCTGAATGGTTGCTTAGGGCATTACGGTTTTCCGACAAGTCACCGTTCTCTCGCTCTTATTATTCTTCGTTCCGTAGGTCATTATGGTTTTATGGCAGCGAAGCATCAGTTCACATGGCTGATGTAATACTGCTGCTGATGATGGTGTCGATGGCAATGTGCATCTTGATAGAATTATTAGAGGAGAACCAAGCTTCAAGGAATTTTCTTGCTTTTTATGCCTCTGCTTGAGCAAGTATCTCCGTTTTGTTCCAATTTAAGCTGTGTACCTCATCATTCATATGCACTGAGAACATTGACGACGTAGAATACTTTCTGCAGCCCTTTGGTGTTCTTTTATCCTGGCTACTAACTTCCTTGTCTGTTATACATAATTCGTTTCACATTTATTGCATTTTATTTCGTGCATGACGTTTCTTCATTCTTGCACTTCCCGTCTGTCCTGTGGGTTTGACAGTAGCGGTTGGCTTGTGGGCAACCATGACATGGTGTTGTTTGGGCAGTCGAGCTGTCGTTTCAGAAATGTCCTTCATGTACGGCAAAGCGATCCACTTTCTTGCCTTTAGCATCAGCTTGTGGTTTAAACATCTGCGGATGAAGCTGTGTGAATATCCTTTGCGCTCAAATGTGCTGAATGTGCGTTTATCTTCTTCCCGTTTCTCTTCCGCAGTACCGCAATGTGTTTCAGTTCTTCGAAACAACGTCCGTATGCTGCTTATTTTGCGGTACTTTGGGTGGTCGCTGTTGAAGTTCAAAATTTGGTCCACGTGTGTGCCTTTCCTGTAAACGGATGTTTGAACTTTACTGTCCAATGTTCGGGTTGTCATTGCGTCTAAGAATGGGAGCTAGTTTTCTGTCTCCAACTCCATTGTAAACTGAATGCCATCTACTACGTTGTTAAGTAGTTACTGTGTGACTGCTACTTCAATGCGTTTGACTATTACAAATGTATCGTCGACGAAGCGGACCTTTCCTCTCTTCCTTTCATTTGTGTTTCAGTATTGTCTGGTGACTAGCCGCTCCGCTGGGTACCCAGTTAGCGAGTTCAGGCACTATGTGTTCTGAACGATCCACCGCATTTTCTCCTCATAGACAGAAATATGCTTCCGACCCACCACAAGTTCAACGCATTTCTCCGTCTAATCATTCCCACATCTCCGGATGACGCTCCAGGGTAAATTCACTGAATTCCTGTAATCTTCATCATCAGCCAGATAGCGTCCTTATGGACAGTGCTTCTCGATACAGATGAGGGCAGACTTCAGCAATGCATTCTTCCTAGGCGCGTCCTTATGAATTGCCTACAAATTCTCCACGTGTACGCAAGTTCTTTTTGAATTTATTATTTATGTGTCCAGCGATACGTCAAACGGGATTCCCTTGGAGACAATTCGATCTTTTTTATTGAACAATTCTTTCATCTTCGTGTCTAAACCAAATGCCCACAAACAACCTCTAATCACTGAAATGCTTCCCAGTTTCGGGTCCATGCCTTCACACCGTGATTGTCCTCGTTTGTCTCCCGAGTACCACGAATCCTTGTCCGAAACGAGTGCCAGTGTGATCTCTTGTGTGTCAGAACTCTATCAGGACTCACTGCTTTCCAGCCCCTCTATTCATCAATGCCAAACGCTGCGATCAGTACGACATCAATCGACACCGATCTCTCACCGATTAACACTGAAACGCTGCGCATCACAATCCTTTAATCGGTCCGCAGATTTGTTTGATTGAGTATCATGTATGCAGTATTTTCCTTTATTTATTTTGGACCCCTATTTCCTTGGCAGAAAACAATTGCTCTGATAATTTGTTTCCTTGTAATTTCGACTTGGTTACAGTGAGAGTGCCCCATTTCGCCGGCTACTTGGCTTTTCAAAACAGCCTCAGTGGTTTCTATTTGTTTATGTAACTTCACCGGGCAACGTTCTCTCATCGCGCAATTTTAGTGGACTTTTACTTCTTTTGTAGAAGCATGATTTACCTTACTAACTGGTATCGTAGCTTCAGCGCCGTAGGATAGTGCACACATAAGTGGGTTCCAGCATCAACTTGTCCGATTCAACCGTGAGATTCATCAGCTTATAAATAACGGGATATGATTTTCCGATTCATCGTACTTAAACAGGTAGACCACCGATGACTACGGTTACCTATGTGGACTTCTGTGTAAGTTGAGATTGCTGCACTCAGAAATAAGACGGACTTGCGATTTATCCTTGCTTATCAAACAGGCCAAGCTCTTTGACCAATTGTTGTGGATTCGTGCCACAGGACTACTAGCGGTAAAAAAGCGAGCATTGACCCATGACTCTAAAGGCCAGAAACGACAACCAGGGTAATTCGGTATCATGCATCGTAATACCAGACAGATCCATGCCCAGGGACCCAACCATAATAGGAAACGTCGTGATTAAACGCTTGTCCACTTTGATTACTACTTGAAGCAGCATACTTAACATTTGCACTCCTGCTGATGTTAGGCTAAGCAGAGTGCAATTCGATTGCGGTGTCATTCGTACCTACATTTAACAGTTACAGCCTTATCCTAATCCAACGGTCTATAAACTTATGTAATAACATTTACTGGCCGTTATACGCCGCTTGTACTACTGAACGTGTTCGTCCTACTTATGCTTTCGGGGTATTCCCGAATCAATGCGAACTTTATTCTGGAGCCTGGACATAAGAATGACCCAAAACTAGACATTGTATATTGCCTTCCAATTAGCCACACACCGGTTATTTTGTAAATAATGAGAAGAGTTGTGTAAAAGAAAATGGTTATGCACTTGCTGCCATTAAATTTAATAAACTCAGCTTAACACGAGATTTTGTAGAGTGCGTCATGTCAGGTTTGTCAGCTAGACTTTCTTAACAATCTGACAAGCCCCATTGACAGTGGCAAAGGGGCTGAAACGCTTTTTATTGATATACAAACCTTGGAAAGAACGCCGTACAACAGTCTTCTGGAGAAGCTAACAAATTTCGGGATAATTGATCGCTTGCACAAATGGTTCAAGTCCTATCTGATCACACGCAACAGGTACAAATAGGGCACAGTAAGTCTTCACTACTGAAGATCAACAGTAGCGTGATGTAAGGTAGTGTGTTAAGTCCACTGATCTCTTTAACGGATATCAACCATTTAAGTGAAAACATAAAACTTCGGACATCATATATATTTGTGGATGACATAACAATACGGTACACCTTAGATATCCGGTGTTTGAACGATACTCTAGAAAACGTTCGCATAGACCTGCTGTTTTTACTATTGCGGTGCATCGATTGGCAAATGTCCTCAGCGAACAAGTGCAGTGTGTTGACATGCAAGTGCAAACTTTCGCCGGTTGCACTTCACGTTGGGGATAAGCACATACCCTGTAATAATACTGTATGTGATCTAGGCATCCGGTACTATAACACGGGATTTTTGTGAACAAGTTGAATTCATAACGGTCTAATTACAAAGAAGCGCAAAACTCATCTTAAATATATTCTCGATGTGTGAACTTAGACTGCACATGTTTAGGCCTGCATTCGCTCTGTGCTAGATTACTGCTCGATTATTTTTACAGGTGGCAGGAACCGCGACTCTGTGTGCCTAGAAAACGTGCATCGATTATTTACAATGGCCCTCTTTGACTTATCTTCTAAACATAATAACACCGAGCGTTGTGAGGTGCTAGAATTGGAGACACTGGCTAAGTCGCATGAAGCTAATATTAACATTCCTGTTTGTTTTGGTCCATAAACATGGATTCGCAGCCAATATCGCTATTCTCTTCAAACTAGTAGTTAGGTACAATTGGGAATACCAGGAACACCTTCTTAATGTTCAAAACGTAAACTAATTCTGCCTAAACAGTTACACTGAGATTTGTAACAGCCTAACTATCGTAATAATAGTATGCGAATCGCAACCGGTGTTCAGATAAGCAGTTTCAACTTTCACGACAGTGCGATACATAAAAGCAATTTTGCAACCAAATTGCGATAAACAATGCTATTTTAAGAGGGAGCCGAGACTTAGCTGAGCATAAAATGTGCTAACTACGGCATGTTTACTTAGGTAGGTCCTCCCATAATACATTGAAACAAGATAAAATGTTGACAGAACCACTTTTAGTCTTCTTTGTTCGGGAAAGCATACTTCACAGACACACCGTTAGGTGTCGGTCGCAGAGGAATTGTAAACTGAGACTGAGCTTACCGTTTTTGTCTCCACGCGTTGTATTCCGTTTACGCAACGACACCTACCTTACAGCCATACCAAAAAGTGTTAGCTGAGAAGGAAACGGCGGCTGAATTTATCCATTTTTATCCACTTTTACCATTCGTTCTTTCCTTACTTGGCTAGGCTTCCGTTGTTGCCCACAAGTAAATGTGTCAGGTAGCATGGTGAATCTAACCGATTCTGCTTCTGACATCTTTATCCCTATTTCAAATATCCCTCTTCCATTTTTCTTCTTACTCGCTTACGCCTTGCATACACTCAAGCCAAGACGCCTAAGCCAGTTGTCCAACACTAAACACGTCCATCGCACACAATAACTAAATCTATTCAACCTATCTCAACCTAAATGATGTTGAATACAAAATAAATAAATACCACCGTCTTTCACTTAGACCTTTAAGAACGCCAGTATATATAACTTGTAGTGCCCAAAAAGATAACCTATCTTTAAGTACTATTTCATTTTTGACCAATTGTACATTATGCTTTCTTGTTTTAATCTTAATTACAACCGGCTCGTTACTTGACCGTCTTGTAAGTACTCGTGTTGCTCTTATTTCGCTTCATACGACCACGTCTTCTTGTACCTCATTCAATACAGTCCGACTGCAGTTGCTTTCTGATATCCGCGCTTAGTTTCGCGCACCGTCTTGGGCTAGTATTTACTAGTCACAAATTGGTGACCCCGATTCGCACGCGCAGAGTGAAACGTTTTTCGTCGTTTGTATTTTTTGGTGTTCGTTTCTTATTCTCAATTATATACGTGTATACATTTGTTTCTTGCGTAAGTTTAGTAGTTCCATTGTGTTTTTAATCATTCTTGAGCTTCACGATTCACCTTTTGAAAGTGACATCTGAGACGGTTCACGGCGTAAACATGCTTACTTTGGCTGTTCCAAGTTTTATGGAACACAGATCAGAGGCTTGGTTTGTGATATTCGAGATAGAACTAAAACATAAGAGCATCAAGGTAAAATCAGCTCGTCCCACGCCTTCCTTCGTCGGTAGTGATGCTGGTTGAGGAGATTCTACTCTGCCCACTGAATGAGGCAAATTATGAAACGATGAAATTAGCGATTTTAAAAAATGCAACAGCGCACCAGCTCGAGTTGAAAAGCTCAATGGTCTCAATCTGGAACATTGCAAGCCGTCGACGTTGCTCCGCGAAATTCAGCGCATCGCTGGTCCCTTATTCTTGGGCGAAGAAATAATAAGAGAACTGTTGTTTGCACGTTTCCCAAAGCCGTTTCTTGTAATGCTGTCCAGGTTTCTAGATACGCCCCTGAAAGAGCTAGCTACCAAGGCAGACGCTGCGTTTGATCGTCTTCCGCAGCAGACGACCAGTAGCTCCGGTGGCGTATTCTCACCGATGAAAACCGAGTCTCATACTTGCTCCAAGTCGTCAAGCCGATCTGACCATAAAGACGAGGAAGTTGCACTACTTCGTAGCAGCGTACGCTACGGTCAGATGCAGATCACGTTTTGGCTACCGTTCATTGCGGCTCGTCTGTGCCTGCACCGAGTACATCTCGTTCTACAAAAAGCGCAGCATTCTCTCTGCACGTTATCAGTCCGACAATACCAGATCCGTCGAAGAATTATGTTGCTATCACCGCCAGTATGGTGGAAGAGCTAGACGTTGTCGGTCTCCCTGCATTAGGCACTACTCAGCCGCTTCATGGGAAGCGAATAGCCCGCATACTATCACGACCGACGTATCCGTCAATAACTAAACCAATCGCCTATTTTACGTATAGGATCAACGTTCTTCTATCATGTTCCTCATCGAAAGGGCAGCGGAAGTCAGCGTCATCCCTGCGAACGCAAGCGACAAGCACTCAAAGCCTAGGTACAATCTGGGTGCAGCCAACGGCCCTCCGATAGCTTCATTCGGTCAGCGCATGATGAACTTGGACTTCATTCTCCGCCGAGCTTTTCAGTGGGTCTTCATAATTGCATCTGTACCCTTCGCAAGTATGGGTATGGACATCCTCTGGCATTTTGGGTTGCTTGTTGACGCTGGTCGCCAGACTTTTAAATGCCCGTACTAAACAAGGGATTAAAGACGTTCTTACGGATGCCCCGATAAGCCGTCCCGTTTTCCAAATCGCCGATGTACCTTCAGATTATGCCAACCTACTGTCTGAGTACCCTCGACTAGTACGATCAGCTGCAGAGCTTTCGCCAGTCAGGACAGAGGTCGCTCATCACATTTGCCACGCGCTGTCCGCCAACGAGTGCCCAACCAAGACGACTCGCCTCCGACAAATTACATGCCGCAAGAGCTGAATTCGATCACATGTTTCAGCTCAGTATCATAAGACCATCCAACAGCCCATGGGCGTCACTTTTTCACATGGTTCCGGAAAAGACTATGGGGACTGGCGTCGTTGTGGCAATTACCGATCTGTAAACAATGTAACCACTCCTAATCGCTATGTTACGCCACAAATCGTGGATCTCACAGCCAGTCTGGCGGGTAACAACGTTTTTAGTAAAATCGACTTCATGCGCGCTTACAACCAAATTCCGATAACAAGCGGACATCGCTAAAACTGCCGTGACGACTCCATTTGGTTTGTTGAGTTTCTGCGGATGTCATTTGGTCTAAAGAATGCCTCGCAAACTTTTCAGCGCTTCGTCTACCAAGTTGGTCATGGCCTAGCCTTCGCATATGCCTACCTCGACGACATCTTAATCGCGAGCTCCTCTGTTGTGTCGGAGCCCTACGATTGCTTCCACCCACTGACGG